CAGTTATTCCTCATCACATGGAGACTCATTCAGACGTGTGCTGACAATGTCATTCTTGCTCAGTCTGAATGCAGACACCCTTCAGCAGTTCAGAGCAAACACAGCTGTGTTATGAAACAAGGTTAACGTGCAGGCGACCCTCGCGAATCCCAATAACACGCACGCCGATAGCTTGCTGAAATGACTTCCTGTGCAGCGATGCCCAAATAATCCAAGTGCCCAAATAAGCTCTGTAATTTTCCAGGAAATGAAATTGAATACTAAGTTGCCTGGTGACAGAGAGACTGATGCCTTTTTTCCAATTTGTTTTCCTTATTTCATCAGGTCTCTTTCACAGATCATTACGAACCAGATTGAATGTACTGTAGTTTTCCTTCAGTCCCTTTATTCATCAGGGGCCATCACAGCAGAATGAACCGCCGATTTATTGAGCATTTGTTTTACACAGCGGATGCCCTTCCAGGTGCAACCCAGTACTGGGAAACATCCATACACACTCATTCACACACATACACAATGGCCAATTTGGTTTATTCAGTTCACCTATAGTGCATGTCTTTGGATTGTGGGGGAAACCAGAAACCCTTGAGAACACTGGGAGAACATGCAAACTCCACACAGAAATGCCAACTAGCCCAGCTGGCACTCAAACCAATGAACTTCTTGCTGGCAACAGTGCTAACCACTGAGCCACCATGTTGCCCTCACACAAACATAATACTTAAAATAATTTCTTATTGACCCTTTTCTTGGCTGCTGCATGGAGGGCGCCAGCGACCAGCGTCTACCGGTAGAGTGCCTAGAACTTCCGTTTACAGCGTTTTTAATAGGTAATTTACACTCCGCAAAGGGGTTTCTATAGCGTTTTTATTGGATTACGGAGTGTTTTTTGTGGCAAACTTAGAAAGGTGTATGTTAAAGCCGCTGTAATCTGTCAGATGTGGTTCAAGCGCTAGAGAAAAACGTTCTCCTAGTTTGCATGTCTGCCGTCAGAAATACAGTGTGTGTGTGTTTCCCCGGCTTGTCAGCTGTTAGCTCAGCGGCTCTTCAGCACGCACGCACGCAATACTTTACTGCATTATAGAGAAAACCAGAGTACTGGCATTAAACTTAACAGGTATGCAAGTAATGCAATTTACAAAAATGACCAATAAAAGTCTGTTATTGAGACTATGCTGGCTGATTTGCTGTTCATTCTAATCACAAGCCGTTTATGTTTCATTTAATGTGTCGTATTTACCACGTTTTGTGTTTTGCTGTCATTTTAAAATGACACTAGCCTATATTTTCACTTTGTCACAGTTATTAAATCAGTGTCAGTGGGACAGTACAGGCTACGCGCGTGTGTCAAACATTTTGGTGAACTACATTAGTTTGGGTTGGTTATGTATTCGAAAGAAAGAGAAACTGTTGACTTTAGCGATAACGAGGCTTCATTTAAACTGCAGAAGATGCTGTCTGACAACGAGGGGAAAATGCCTCACAGCAGTTGTTTTCCATCCCATTAGATCGCATTTTTTAAAATAATCAGTCCAGGAGGTGGCGCTGATCGACAACAGTATCAGTTCAAAGATGATAAAAGCAGGTAAAATGGATTAAAACTATCGTTTCAAAGCTGTCCAAATGTGACTGTTTATACGCATCAGCTGCCGACTGGAAATTCTTAGCATTCTCCTTGCGCATACACGCAAAGCATACCAGGTAATTTTGCGTTCTAAGAAAAAGGTCTATAGAGATAGTCAGAATTATTAGCCCCCCTGTTTATTTTTTTCCCCAATTTCTGTTTAACATAGAGAATTTTTTAACACATTTCTAAAGATAATAGTTTTAATAAGTTATTTCTAAGAACTGATTTATTCTATCTTTGCCATGATGACAGTAAATAATATTTTATTCAATTTTTTTTTTTTTAAGACACTTCTATACAGTTTAAGGTGACATTTAAAGGCTTAACTAGGCGTTAACTAGGCAGGTTATGCTAATTAGGCAAGTTATTGTGTAACAATGATTTGCAGATTATCGAAAACAAAATTAGCTTAAAGGGACTAATAATTTTGACCTTAAAATGGTGTTTAAAAAATTTAAAACTGCTTTTATTCTAGCTGAAATAAAACAAATAAGACTTTCTCCAGAAGAAAAAATATTATCAGACATGCTATGAAAATTTCCTTGCTCTGTTAAACATCATTTGGGAAATATTACATATTACAAAAGAAAAAAATGCAAAGGGGGTGCTAATAATTCTGACTTCAACTGTATGTATGTATATTTATACATATACATATACAAACACACACACACACACACATAATAATAATAATATAATATAATGGCTCTTTAGAAAATAATGCATTTGCCAAAAAAAAAAAAAAATATTCAGAAATGGCTTTTTACTTTAAAAAAAAAAAGATTCCTAACCCCTGCTTTAGACCTTTAGATGCTTCATTCTAAACTAGTAGCAAACGTATACTAAATTCCACAAGACTTTCACTTTATTGTGTATTTGGTAGTGCGTATGCTTTTGTTATGTGTGTCTTGCATACATAAAGCTCAGCTGTCATAGCAAGCCTCTTCATCAGAAGGTGTGTTGATGCGATATGTGCTTGATACGGTTTTGATCCGGCTGAAGGCTCCCCTGGTATTTGTCTCTGCGTGCGCTTTGACTTGGAAAGGCTCCAGAGCAGGAGTTCATATTTAGATGGAGTAATCAGATCTATTTGGATGTTTTCTCTGGCAGTGAATGTATTCATATGTCTGATCTTCTGTGTACGCATGCTGCTTTCGCTGGTTTGAGATTAGTAGTGTTTGATTTTAACATCTGCAAAGAAACTTTATAGCTTTTATTAAAGCCGAAGGGACCAACTTTATATCTTTAAGGAATATCACTGCGATCTGTCTTTACTTAAAGGATGACTTACACCTTGTGTAGGTGTAGCTGTTTTCTTAAAACAGAGCCCTCCTTGGTCGTTATCAGAGGTTATATGTTAAAAGCTTGATCCAAGTGGCTTATCTGCCATTGGCTGCTCTATCCTTTCTGCTTTATATTGATTGTTGTGTGATAGATTGCATTGAGGTGTTGTAAAATAGATGCTTTAGATTTCCTGTAGCTGAGGTTCAAGATGGGATTTTATATTAGTTTCCTTTTTTTTCATAGCTTTAGGTATTTACTTAAGCTTTCCTGATGTGTGTGAGTGCATTCACTAGCAACATTTACTCTGTTTGCCTTAAAGTAAATATATTGGTAAATTGATCATATTATAGCTGGTTGTCACAGATTTACACCTGACTTCCCCTTTAGGGATTAGTACTGTCTACATGTCGTTATCTGTCTGTATCTTTCCTGGAAAAGTCAACATGTGTGATTGCCTTGCTCTATGCAGTAGTTTAATGGATGGGTAACCCCTCCTACATTGACCCGCTCCAAGCGGGATCTAACCAGCAGGTATTTGATCAGGCGCATTAACAAGAATGTCAAAGACCTCAGCATCTAGCATCTGTTGTCAGTGCACCCCTTGAGATCAAGGGACTGAGGTTTACATGCACAGCTGAGCTCGCCCTAGCTGGTGTTTGTTACACATGCAGTGTTGAAGGGTACTGCATGGTGGGGTCTTAGGAAATCTCAATCTTTTGCAGTTAATCAGTTCTAAATTAATACTTTTAATTTCCATTTTTTTCCTACCAATTATTTTACCAAGCCTTGGTCAGCAACTAGTAGCAAAATACTAGTTCTTTTGACATCACTTTACCATATGTTGATACAGTTTTTGAAAATGTAAAACACCTGTTCCATAGGTTTTACAAACTCCATGGGAAAGCATAATATGTGAGGAAAGACTACAGAAGTGCAAGTTGGTCCGTTCATGTTGCTTTGAATAGAAGAAACAGGGTTTCCCAATTTTCTTTAGCTTGAAGGCGTAGGGCTAAGGGGAAGGGCTAGATACCCCTTGAAACTGAGATTTTTCAGAACCACACTTAAAACCAAGTGTTAAGAATATTTCCTAGAATACACCAGCAACATTCTGTCAGTCGATGACACTTGAATACCCTGTCAGAAAAGTCTAGTTCCTGGGAATGACCTTTTTACAGTGTCTTGTGTAATGGTAATGTTGTGTTTACATAGATGAATATGGCCACGATGTAAATGCACAATACAGTTACGATCTTATTGTCATATTATATCGTTATGAAACATGATATCGTTGCCTTCAGTGATTTCCTGAAGATAAATACCAAAAAAAAGAAAGACACTGGAATAACTACAGCAGTCGTGATTGTCGATCTCATATGAAGCAAGAGATTGCGGTGACAAATGATGACATGTCCAGGTGCTGTAGTGCTGTCCCATTTCTTAAGGGTCAATTTTTAAGCCCTTCCCCTCTACACTCTGTGTATGTCTGGGAAGGGGTAGGGGTACAAAAATAGAATTGGGATTGGACCTAAGTTCCATCTTATAAGTTACTGGTGACCAACCTTGTTCCTGGGGATCTACCTGCCTTCAGAATTCAGTTGCAACCCATATAAAAACACACGTCTCTGTAATTATCAAGTGCTGTTCAGGTCCTAATTAATTGGTTCAGGTATGTTTTAATCAGGGTTGGAGCTGAACTGTACAGAAAGGTACATCTTCAGGGGCAGGATTGAGCACCCTTGTTATAAATAAGGTCTTCGCATCACTGCAGTAGTCACTAGAAGCTCAATCTGAAAGAGTGTTTTAAAATGTGGAGTTCTGCATGTGCATATTAACTGGTTCACTATAAATAGTCACTGCTTGGATGTTGGAATAAAAAATCTGACAGTTCATGTGAAGTTTTTACATATTAACTTTTCAAGTAGTTTATTAATTTCAGGATTTTCACATACATCTAGATAGGACTTAAATCTTGTATACCCAAAATAGTTGCCTGAAGAGGCTTTCTTTGAAAGTGACTTTGATGTATGGGTTGATTTTGTAATGTGTATGTCCACTACACTAACCAGCCTTCTTTATGCTCTCTCTTTAGGATGGTTCAAAACAGAGACAGTCAAGGAAGAAGACCGTCTCATTCAGCTCCATGCCAAGTGATCGCAAGATGAACAGCACAGCTGCCTGTATGGCCTTCATGATGGAAGGCTGTGAGATGAAGAAAGTTCGTTCTAATTCTCGCATGTACAATCGTTACTTCCTGTTGGATCCTGACATGCGCTGGCTCCGCTGGGAACCATCAAAAAAAGACTCTGAGAAGGCCAAGCTTGAAATCAAGAGCATCAAAGAAGTTCGATTGGGAAAGAAAACACCTGTCCTACGCAGCAACGGACTCTCGGATCAGTTCCCAGAGGAGTGTGCATTCTCGATTATATATGGTGACAACTATGAATCCCTTGATCTGGTTGCAAGCACTGCAGATGTGGTTAGCACCTGGGTGATGGGACTGCGGTACCTGGTCTCATATGGGAGGCATATGGTGGGTGTAGCAGAACCTAGTCAACCTAGTGTACGAACGTCATGGATTGGGTCCGTGTTTGATCTAGCTGATCCAGAAAGGCAAGGACACATTGACCTATTCCGGGCCACCCAAATCATAAAGGGTCTCAATCCTGGCATGAGAGAGTCTCGCATCGAACTGAAGTTCAAAGAGCTACAAAAGGCCAAGGACTGCTATGGTGAAGGCATTGATTTAGACACATTTGTAGAGGCATACTGTGAACTGTGCACACGCTCCGAGATCTTTTTCCTGCTGGTGCAGTTTTCCAGCAACAAAGAATACCTGGACTCTAAAGACTTGATGATCTTTGTGGAGGTGGAGCAGGGAGTGGAGGGTGTCACAGAGGAAATGTGTCGGGAGATTGTGCATAAGTACGAACCCTCTGCTGAAGGACGTAATAATGGCTACTTGTCCATAGATGGCTTCACACACTACCTCCTGTCATCCGAGTGCCACATTTTTGACCCGCAGCACAAGCATGTTTGTCAGGACATGACGCAGCCCCTTTCACACTACTACATCAATTCTTCTCACAATGCCTCACTTTTAGAAGATCACTACTGGGGCTCTTCTGACCTCAGCAGCTATGTTCGAGCACTGCGAATGGGTTGTCGAAGCCTAGAGGTTGTAGTCTGGGATGGTCCTGACTGTGAGCCTGTGGTCTATGTTGGAAGCTCTGTTGCATCCCAGCTGGCCTTTTGTAAAATTCTTGATGTCATTAACCAGTATGCCTTTGAGAGTTCAGAGTATCCACTAATCCTCTGTCTTGTCACACATTGTAGTGTTCCCCAGCAGAGAGTCATGGCTCAACATCTGAAGAAGATTCTTGGAGACAAACTGCACATCGAGTCTCCCAATCTGGAGGACCACTATTTGCCCTCCCCTGATAAACTCAAGGGAAAGGTACTCATTAAAGGGAAGCGCTTGCCAACAGATTCACAAGACTCTGAAGGAGAGGTCACAGATGAAGAAGAAGGTTTTGAGATGTCCAGGAGAATGATGGGTGTAGATGATAAGGATCACCTTAACGGGATTGGCTGCAAACGATTACGACTCTGCAAGGAACTTTCTGACCTAGTCACCCTTTGCAAGTCCGTTCAGTTCCGTGACTTTGAGATGTCAAAACGCGAACAGAAGCATTGGGAGATTTGCTCCTTTAATGAGGTTGATGCCAACCGCTTTGCCAATGAGTTTCCAGAGGACTTTGTCTCTTACAATAAGCGGTTTCTGTCACGGGTGTACCCTACACCCATGCGCATTGATGCTAGCAACATGAATCCACAGGACTTCTGGAAGTGTGGTTGCCAAATTGTGGCTATGAATTACCAAACTCCAGGTTTGATGATGGATTTGAACCTTGGCTGGTTTAGGCAAAATGGCAACTGTGGCTATGTCCTGCGTCCTGCTATAATGCGTGAAGAGGTGTCCTATTTCAGTGCCAATGCTCGTGACTCGCTTCCTGGAGTCTCAGCACAGCTCCTTCACATTAAGGTGATCAGCGGTCAAAACCTACCAAAGCCTCGAGGCTCTGCTGCTAAAGGAGATGTGGTAGAGCCATACATCTATGTGGAGATCCATGGAATCCCTGCAGACTGCGCAGAACAACGCACAAAAACTGTCTCGCAGAATGGTGACAATCCAATATTTGATGAAAGCTTTGAGTTCCAGATCAACCTCCCTGAGCTAGCTGTTTTGCGGTTTGTTGTCCTTGATGATGACTACATTGGCGATGAATTTATTGGCCAGTACACGATTCCTTTTGAGTGCCTGCTTCCCGGTTACCGGCATGTACCACTGCAGTCACTTACAGGGGAGTTTTTGCCCAACACCACGCTGTTCGTTCACGTTGCTATTACAAACCGACGAGGTGGGGGCAAGGCCCATAAGAGGGGTCTCTCTGTGAGAAAGGGCAGAAAAGCAAGGGAATACACCTCTACAAAGACCACAGGGATCAAAGTGGTAGATGAGCTCTTCAGGGCGTCCACCCAGCCACTACGAGAAGCAACAGACCTACGGGAAAATGTACAGGTATGAACTTTGGTCTTTTTAGGGTTGGTGTGTTTAAAGGGGTGGTGTAATGCTATTTCATGCATTCAGAAATTATTTTACACTGTTAAGAGTTAAAGGACTATCATGTTTAAGCATTCCAGTGGGAACCTTAGTGTCAAAACATCATCAAGTTGACATTGACGTCTATTTAACATCCACACATTGGATTGATGCCCTTCTGATCACCACCATAATGACACAAAAAGTATTATAAAATAAGATATAAAATATAATAAGAAGCTTTATTAATCTGAAATCTTAAATTCCAAATAAAGGAGTTAAAAACACACACAAAATATATTACAGGATATTTTAGTGTTTTTTTTTTTACACTAGATGTCAATTTGATGCTGTTTTGTCATCAAAGTTGTCAATTGACATCAAAATCTATTTAATCTTTTGAATAGTTTGTTGACATTTTGACGTTTAGATTTTGAAAAATTATTTAGACATAACACAGAGTTATCCTTTTCCAAAAATCTTACTTATGGTTCATAATCCGTTTTGGAAGAAAAAAAAAATTGGCTTGGCTCTTGGTTACGTAACTAAGGTTTGAAATCCTATTAGGGGTACTTCTCCTGGAAAATTGTGTGTTACCAGGTTGATCATGGAAGTGTGTCTATCACGCACAACAGAGCTGCACAGGATTTTGCTGAGAATTAGTCCAAAATGTTTGTGTTTGGATGTGATGGAATGTCTTACAAGTACATAAAAACAAAATGCTTTTGACTAAAAGATGAGAGCAGTATTACTCCATACGTACTTCATATGTACAATTTTGTCATCGATACTTAAGTCTTCAAGAAATTGCTGCATTAACATTGAGGATACATATAGCGAGTATAAATGATTTTCGTATTGATGCAAGAAATTGTTACATAAGCTCACTGAAGCTAAGCAGTGCTGAGCCTGGTCAGTACATGTATGGGAGACCATATGGGAAAACTAAATTGCTAAAGTGGTGTTAGCAAGGCCAGCAAGGAGCACTTAACCTGTGATCTGTGCGAGTCCTCATGCCCCAGTAAAGTGAAGGTGAAACTATCCTGTCATTGAGCTTCATCTTTCGGATGAGACGTTAAACCAAGATCCTGACTCTCTGTGTTCATTAAAAATCCCATGACACTTCTCATAGTCATCTACGTTCCTACTCTCACCTATGGTCATGAGCTTTGGATACAAGCGGCCAAAATAATTTCCTTTGCAGGGTGGCAGGGCGCACCCTTATAAATAGGGTGAGGAGCTCTGTCACCCGGGAGGACCTCAGAGTAGAGTCATTGCTCCTCCACATCAAGAAAAGTCAGCTGAGGTGGCTCGGGCATCTGTTTCGGATGCCTCCTGCATGCCTACCTAGGGAGGTGTTCCAGGCATGTCCCACCATGAGAAGGCCTCGGGAAAGACCCAGGACATGCTTTAGGGACTATGTCTCTCTGCTGGCCTGGGAACGCTTTGGGATCCCCCCGGAGGAGCTGGAGGAAGTGTCTGGGGAGAGGAAAGTCTGGGGTTTTCTCCTAAGACTGCTGTCGCCTCGACCCGGCCCCGGAAAAACGGGTGAAAATGAATGAATGAATAAATGAACGAACAAACGAATGAATGAATGAATGAACGAACGAACGAACGAACAAACGAACGAACAAATGAACGAACGAACGAACAAACTTCTCCTAAAGAGCAGAGGTGTAACCCTGATGTCCTGGCTAAGTTCCCTCCATCTACCCTTACCTATGGCCTTCTACTCATACCCATACACCAAATTGCCTTTATCAATCTCTCCACTCCACCTATAGCTGGTGTGAGGGGAGCACCCTGGCACCATTGTCCTGTGCAGCCATCGCATCCAAGTGGATGCTGCACACTAGTGGTGGTGTAGAAAGACCCACCACAGTAAATGCACTGTGTAAATACACATTACATTACATTACATACACAATGTCATGAAAATATGCTCAGTCATATTAATATAGTAGTGACTACGCAGATTGCAGATTTTCTATTTGCTTTTAAACAAACCGACATTAAAATGTTTTGTTAAATCACAAGATTTTTGGAGCAAAATGACTCAATGTTATGTGAAGGTCTTGCACTAGAAAAAGAAAACGAAAATTCTTCCTGTTGACTGACATCTGCTGCCACATTTAGTCTTGAAAGCTGCCTTGGCCCTAAAGGCAGTTCAAGGGAGGTAACAAGGCTTATGAAAACACAGTATCGGAAACATTCACTCAGAATTGCCTGTGTTGTCAGGGATAGAAAGCGAGAGAGAGTGACACAAGAAAGATTTGGAGGCTTTTATTGTGAGCTCATTAGTATAATGTGCTTAAAACTAGATTCTGAAGATGTTTTCAGATTTTCCACAAATGATGCTTTCACTCGCTGATTACAGTTGTTTCGAATGTTAATGATGTTTTGTCACCGAATACTGGTAGAGGGGTAAAATTGCATTGTTATGAAGGCGATGCATCATTTCAGTTTGTGTCAGAAAAGATTGGGCGCAAGCTGCAAAAAATATTGATTTCAAAAGACTTGCTCAGCAGACACAATGTTGCCCTCTCGCACATGGTCCTAATTTAAGAAGACTAAAACCTCAAAGGACATCCCATTAGATGATTAGAGACAGAAAACATATGGCCAGCTCGAGCTGTCCTCCTGCTTTGGATCTCTGCCCTGTCTTTAAATTAGAGTGTGTATGTATGTAACTGCGTTATTTCATTTACCAGAACGCCTTTTCTTCTGTTTCTATTTCACAAATCAATGTTTTTTTTTTGCATGATATTATTATTATTATTATTATTATTTGTTAATTTAAAATATTATTATTATTATTATTATTATTATTATTATTATTATTATTATTGTTATTATTATTATTATTTGTTTATTATTTATTTATTTATTTATTTAAAATAATATTATTATTTTTTATTATATTTTGTTATCTGTTTATTTAGTTATTTATTATTTGTATATTTAGTTATTATTATTATTATTATTAAGTTTATTAATTATAACTATTTATCTATGTATTTATTATTTTTTTATTTATGTATTTGGTTATTTTTTAGCATTGTTGTTAGTTTATTTAATAGCTATTTTAAATTTGTATTATTATTATTATTATTATTTATTTGTTAATTCAAAATATTATTATTATTATTATTATTATTTGTTTATTATTTAAAATTATTATTATTATTATTTGTTTATTGTATGTTTATTTATTTATTTAAAATAATATTATTATTTAATATTTTGTTATTTGTTTATTTAGTTATTTATTATTTTTATATTTAATTATTATTATTGCTAATTTTATTAATTATTATTATTTATATATGTATTTATTATAATTTTCTATTTATGTATTTGGTTATTTTTTATTGTTGTTTGTTTATTTATTTAAAATAATATTATTATTTAATATTTTGTTATTTGTTTATTTAGTTATTTATTATTTTTATATTTAATTATTATTATTGCTAAGTTTATTAATTATTATTATTTATATATGTATTTATTATAATTTTGTATTTATGTATTTGGTTATTTTTTATTGTTGTTTGTTTATTTATTACTATTTTAAATTTGTATTTATTATTATTATTATTATTATTTATTTTATTAATTATTTTATTTATTATTATTATTATTATTATTTATTTTATTAATTATTTTATTTATTAATATTATTATTATTATGTTCATACAGCTAAAATATGTCTTTACATAAAATAATAGTCCTTTATTTTATGTAATCAAAGCTTACATTTATCCATTTGGCAGATGCTTTTATTTGAAGCAACTTGCAGTGCATTTATGGTGTCCAAAATATCATGTTCATGCATTTCCAAGGTACTAAACCCATGACCTTGGCACTGTTAGCACCCTCCTCTGCTGTTTAAGCTGCAGCCAATATTGGATGTTTAATTCTCTGTGCATGTTTTATTTTTGAATCTAGATTATTCTTTCCTTCATCTAGTGCTCTGCTCAATCATTAAGTCAATCATTAAAAGCACTTTTAATTTATCCTAACACTGTACAATGAAGTCCTTATTAGATGTTTTTGAATTAAAATTATTCCTTTTTTTGCATTGCACTTTAAAATTTTGTGATGCCTGTACTCACTTGCAACAGTTAAATGTAATTTTAGTATTTATTTTAAGTTATTTATGTTAAGTTAATACAGTTCTGGAATATATTTAAAATTGTCCATAGGTAATTTATCATTTATTATGACTTTTATTCATTGACTACAGTTCTACAGGTTTAATTTATATAATCCCTAAGGTGTATTTCTTTACTACTTCTTTATGGACTAAATTGTGGATCATTAATCATTGCACAAAACATATTCAGTGATTTTTATCTTTAAAATTCATTTTTTTATTCATTTTATTGTATTTATATTTATTTAATACAGTTCTGGAATATATTTTAAATTTCCCAAAGGTTTTATTAAGACGTTTATTTATTGACTACAGTTCTATAGGTTTAATTTATATAATCACTAAGATATTTTTCTTAATAGTTGGCCTTTATGGACTATATTTTTGATAATTAATCATTGCACAAAACATTTTCAGTGATTTATATCTTTAAAATTCTTTTTTTCCCCCCTGATTTAGACAAAACCTCCCACCAAAAATGTGTTGCATTTTGACAGTAATATCATATTTAAATACATTCTAAATTAAAATCAGTGCCACATATGTTAAAGGACACTGTTTGTATTGTAATGTAAACATTGCATATGCAACATACGTTTGGTATAGTCTTCCAAGGTTGTAGATTAAAGGTAATGTTTAGTTTTTTGTATTACCTTACATGTTTTTTTTTTTTTTTTAATAGCTTGGTTAGAGTAGATAAACAAAAAAGTAATCTAAAATTTTATAATAATGATAATTTATAGTGCCCAGTTCATATGAATGAATTTAATTGTACACATTTTGTTATAAATTCATACATCAGTTACATTTCCCAAAATTAGG